GCAACTCAAAAAAAGAAAAAAGAAAAAGTGGAAATTTCAGTTTGGAGTATTATTATCAATTTATGGTGTTTTTCTCACCACAGTGAAGTCCTAGGTAAAATATAAATATTCTTATAGTTTCATTATGTTATTTATCCAATTTGAAATGAATTTAGTCCTTATAGAAATAGAAATAAAACCAATTCATATATTACAGTTTTACCTGAGAGAAGCTATGTTAATTATACAAGTCAGGTTTGTATAATAGAGCATGGGCTTCAAAGTCAGTCCCTCGCTTATTAATGTTGTGATTCTGGGGGAAAAATTTATATTTTTATATCTCTATTTAGGATAATTACCTAGTTAACTGCTTCCTACTGTTGTTGCAAAGATTTTGTCAAGTAATATGTAAAAGGCTTAGCATAGTGCCAGCACATAGTAGATATTCAACAAACATTAGTTCTCTTCTCTTTTACACTCTTTCAAATTGGGGTATATATTTATTTACAGTTTGTTCCAACAAAAATGGTGTTCTCTATAATATTTACAAAGCAATGGCTACGTTATAAATAAATCTACTCACCTTTTTCAGAAGCCTCTATTTAAAAAAAATTTTTGTTTGCTTCCTTTTTATTAGGTCTTCACCAACTACAGCTAGCAACAAGAGAGTCAATAAGAGAAATTTTATCCCACCAGCCTTCACACATATCAACCCAAAATTTGAACTTCTCAGCCTAGGAGCAACAATGAAATTAGCTAGTGAGTTAATTCAGGCACACAAGTTAAACAAGGATCAAGCTACAGCTCTAATACAAATAGCGCAAATGATGGCATCACCTGAAAGTGCTGAAGAAGTGAAGGAACTGCGAACTCACACCCTCCCTATTACAATCATACATGGTAAGAAGCAAGAAAGAAAAAGAGTCTGATAAATACATTATTATATGTAAACTTTTGTAACTCAGTTTGTTCCTTTATAATTCTCTAGTCAAACAAGGTTCAAGAATCATTCTAAATAGATTTGGATTTTTTTTTTAACCTAAACCCACTTTGGTAAACTGTTAGATAAGAGCACAACTGTCCACCCTAAAAGGAAGAACTGACAGCATATCTGATGAATGAATAGCATTATACACTTATGGTCAGAGTATTCTGATTCCATTTAATTGTTGACCAGTTGCTCTACTCGAGTGGACTTCAACTTTGATCAGTAAAACGTTTTATTGGTTTTTAGCCAGCTCACTCTTCTGTCTCTTACAGGAGCTATCCAAACCTTCATCTCACAACCTCATTCTTTCCCCACTCTCTGTTAATCTTGTCTCTACAACAGGAAATGGAGTTCATAAAGAAGCTCGTATAAACGCCCTGCCCTTCTTCTCCAACTTACCTAATTTTAGGCCTATTTTACTTCTTGGTTCTGTCTTAATGAAGAAGCTTTATTACTTCTTCCTGTTTGGTGTATTTTTATCTGGATTATGTCACCTCTACAGCACATTTCCTCTTGTAGACCTCTACCTCGAAGCTGATCCTACTGTTTTGTCCTATTTTGAGGTCTTGCATCATATCCACCCTGTTGACAAAAATGAACACCTGAGAGTCATCTTAGATCATTCTTTCTTTCTAGATTGAGTGACTCCCTCTTCATCCTCCTTCTGTTCTCTTACTCTGCATCTCCCCCCCCATCAGACCAGTCACTGAGATGTGTCTCTTATAGCTTCTATCCATCTTTCATATAGATTATTTCCTCGCCAGTTTACCAACAGCCCTTCAGTCCAAGCCTTCATTATACATCCATACAGTGTACTGGGTAAGAGTGTGGGCTCTTGAGTTAGAATTCTGAATTTATATCTTGTTTCTGTCATTTGTTAGCTGTGTGATTTTGGGCAGATTACTTATCTCTTAGCTCTAATGTCCTACTATGAAATGGGGATCATAATGGCATCCCCCAATAGGGTTGGAAGATTAAATAAGTTAGCAAGATAAAGGGCTTAGAACAGTGCCTGGTGTATGGTAGGTACCTAGTAAAGTTAGCATTTATTCTTGGTATGATTATCTCACACAGCTTTCTAATTGATCTATCATTAGTTTTACCTTTCTTAATATTTTTCACCCAAGTGTTTTTCCAAAACACAATCTGATTAAGTCAAACCCATTGTTTAAAACCTTTCAATGGCTTCTCCTGGCCTTTAAGATAAAATTCAAGCTTTATTTAGTTATAGCAAACAGAGCTTTTGTGATTTATTTCCCTTCCTATTCATCAGCCCCATCTCTTGCCTATTTGCTATAGGCTATATAGAAATATTTGAAATTATTTTAACACATACTTTGTTATGCCTCTGCCTAAAATGTGCCCTTTTCTAAGCAGTCCGGATATCTTATTCTAGAAGACTTAGTTCTATTACTTTTAGGAAATATTCCCATACCCACTAAAGCAGAGAGAGAGAGAGAGATGTTCTTCTTTCTTTGATTCCATAACAGTGTTACTTACCATATTATTTTATCATTATTCCTTTACTTGTCTATTATCTCTTTTTTTTTTTTTTGAGAAAGCAGGATTTATTGAGAGGACAGAAAAGCTCCCACAGTGGGAGGGCAACCCAAGGGGGTTCCCTTGTCTATTATCTTAAGTAGGCTGTGGTCTCATTAAAGGTGGAGATATTTTGGTATTTGTCTCTTGTGCTTACAACATAGTGAGCATTCAGAGTTTTTAAAATACTTTAGTGAGCATTTGGAGTTTTTAAAATATATTAATTAAATGAAAGAGAGAGAGATGGATGAAATGTTTCTTGTGCTTTCCAACATTTATTTATTTCTTTCCCTTTTAAAATAATTAGGTGTTTTTGGAGCAGGAAAGAGTTATTTGCTGGCAGTGGTGATTTTGTTCTTTGTACAGCTATTTGAAAAGAGTGACGCTCCTGCAGTTGGAATTGCAAGGCCATGGAAACTTCTGATTTCTTCTTCCACTAATGTAGCCGTAGACAGAGTACTTCTTGGGTAGGTATGATGCGTGTATTTGAGAAGCTAATGTTTTAGGTTACTGTTGAGAGAGGCATCCCACCATGGGCCCTGAGTGTCAAGCACATTCTTGCTGGGTATGCCAAGAATACAAGGCCTTTGTCTCTGACCCAGGAGCTAGGACCTATGAAACAGTAACAGGCTAATAGATTTGTTTGTAATTAGGGTACAATCAAATACCAAACCTGACAACTTTGGCACAATGGTCCTCATGTAAAAATTCAAGCTCAACCTCGAACGTGTAGGACCTGAACGATGTACTGTCTCTACCACTGGCCCTGAGTGCCCCTGCTGGGATGCTAAGGGTGCAAGTCCCTGATCGCTTTTATCCAAGACATTTCTCAGGGTTGTGTTTTCAATAAGCAACTTTGATGAGGTGGTGTCCCCCTCCAGAACAAAGCACGCTTGCTCACTGCTTGTTGTAAAAATAGCAAATCCCCAACCGCTGTGTTCCCATCCTCTTACTCACCCCACTGTATGTGCAGGTATACACCTGGGCCCTCTGTGTTTGCCCATGTGACGGGAGCCAAGGGATGTTTGTGCTCATGCTGCTTCTTGTCTCATGAGTAATCATCCTTTCTCTCTGACCTTAAAAGTAGGCTAAAATTCCAGAACCAGCAGTTACAGGTCAGTCCTTGTTCATTTGCCTATGAGAACACGTAATAGTAAAACAGCCAAACAATTTACATAAACTATGTTTTTTATTTCAATAAAAAGGATCCACAGAAGGCAATAGCAATCTCTTCTGCAGGTATAAAATTTTTGTGATTGCATAAGGCTTTATTAAAAATGCAAAAAAAAATTTTACCAGTAGTCCAGTGTTTAATCATTTGAATTTCAACATGAATGACAGTGTGATTAGGAGAAATAATTCATTCCTTTTAAGTCTGGCTTTTAAAAATTAACTTTTATAATCCCACAGTTTAGTTCTTGGAGCAGAAAATATGCAGACTATACAGATGTTTTATTAAATAATTTTTTGGGGGGTCTAAGTTTCACTCTGTCGCTTGGGTTGGAGTGCAGTTGGCATGTTCATGGCTGCTACAGCCTCAGCCTTCCAAGTAGCTTTGACTACAGACATGCACCACCACACTCAGCTAATTTTTTGGTTTATTATAGAGATGAGGTCTTGCCAAGTTGCCCAGGCTGGTGTCAAACCCCTGGGATCAGGAAATCCTCTCGTCTCAGCCTCCCAAAATGTTGGGATTACAGGTATGAGCCACCATGCCTGGCCTTGTTTTATTAAATTTATTTACAGATTTTTAAAATATATACACAGACATGCACATTTTGTCTTCTAAACTTGAGATTCAACTATATATATTGTTTTGTGTCCTGCTTTTTAAATTAAAATATTTTGTCTATGGTATTACATCTTCTCATAAAACATAACTTTTCATAACTCTATTACATTACATAATTTACTTGTACTATACTTTAACTGATTTTTCATTAGTAAGTTTTTTTCTGAATACTTGCCATTATGAATTATATTATAACAGATTCGTAAATATAAATTTTTATACCCATTTTTTGATTATTTTCTTAGGAAACAATTCTACCTAGAATGAAACACATGAACATTTTTAAGCTTGTTAATATACTTTGCAAAATTGCCCTTCAGAAAGGTTCTACACTTTTATTAGTAATTCTACACTTTTATAAGTAATTGAAGAGAGTGACTGAGGGCAACATCTTTTGATTCAAGACCATGAGAAGTTATGTAGCCTAAGAGGAAAATTTAACTGTAGACTGTTAGAAAACAAACAAACAAAAAAACAAATCAAAAGTTAGAATGAAGAGGGAAGGTAAGTACTGAATACTAAAAGTTGACAGAAAACATTAAAAAGAGATTTGGTGAGATGGGTGTGGTGACTCCAGCATTTTGGGAGGTGGAGGTGAGAGGATTGCCTGGGCACAGGGGCTTGAGACCAGCCCGAGTAACTTGGCGAGACCTCATCTCTACAATAAATAAAAAAGTTAGCCAGGTGTGGTGATATGCATCTGTAGTTACAGCTATTTGGAAGGCTGAGGATCACCTAAGCCCAGCAGTCCGAGGCTGCGGTGGCTGTGACTGTGCTACTGCACTCAAGCCTGGGTGACAGAGTGAGACTCCAACTTAAAAAAAAGAAAGATTTGGTGTCTTACACCTTTAATCCCAGTGCTTTGGAAGGCAGAGGAAAGAGGATCTCCTGAGACCAGGAGTTTGAGATTAACCTGGGCAACATAATGAGACATTGTCTATAAATAAATAAATAAATAAATAAATAAATAAATAAATAAATAAATAAATA